TGTTTTGTGCCACTCCCAACAGAAATACTCCAGGTGGACAACTTCAGCAATCAGGAGCTCCTCAGTTGCTCATAGAAAATCCCACCTTGGAGTTTACAAAGACTTATGGGTAAAAAAGCCACACTAAATAATTTACTACACCACACTACCCTACAAGACAAGAGCAGTACAAGACAAGAGGGCTTCCAAGGCTGTAATCTTTATGGAAGCAGACTGCTGCATCTTTCTCCTGTGGAGCGGCTGATTGGGTCTAGCACTTAACCACTGCACTGCCAGGACTCCTTTTGAAGATGTTAAGGAATTGTTTTAAAAAAATGTTTAAAAAAAAAAAAACTTTAGGTGTGTTAATGATATTGTGATTATTCTTTTTTAAGAAGAGAGTCCTTATGTGTAAGAGATACACAGAGATAGTTACAGGTGAAATGAAATGATGTCTGAGATTTACTTTTAAACAACACAGGAAGGTGCAACTAGATGGCTTCACCATGAATATTTTGCTTATTGTTGAAACAGGGTGATGAGTACCTGAGAATTCATTAAAATTGTTTCCTTTGCCTTTATGTGTGTTTAAAACTTTCCATAATATTTTTATTTATTTATTTACATTTTTCAAACTCTTAAGAGCAGCCAGCTGCCTAATAGGAATAACTGGGTATTTGTGAGTATACACCTCTTTAGCAGCAGCTCTGAGAGCATTCCTCCTCTCTGAAGGCTAAAGCTGGAGGTTGGAAGGCAACTGAATATCTTTCCTCTAGAAAGGCAATATTAGCCTGAGGCTTTTCAGTAAGCACAGAATGTATCAAGAATACAGACCAATCAAAATCTTCTTTAAAAGATGTTACTTCATTCTCATTTCTTCCCACTTCCTTTTCCTTGGGGAAAGAAAAAGAGAAGAGGGAGGATACAGTGAGAAGTGTGCATCCCTTCCATTCCATCTCTCAGCCTGTGATAGGACGGATTCCAGTAACTCTCCAGGATACTGGACCAATAAGAAGCCAGGCAAATGGTGCCCTTTGCACAATACAAAGGTAGACATGTCTGATGAAATGGCATCACTCTTGGATGGTTCCTTAGTTATCTCGTGCTGCTATAAAAGAAATACCTCAAGTGGCTGGCTTTAATAAACAGAAATTTATCTACTCACTTCAGGAGGCTAGACATCCAAATTCTGGGCAGTGGCTCTAAAGGAAGGCTTTCTCTCTCTCAGTTCTGGAGGAAGGTCCTTGTCTCTTTGCAGTTTCTTTTTCTTGGTATCTTGGAGATCTCATGTGGTATGGCATCTATCTTCTCCCAGCTCTGCTTTTTGCTTGTTCTTTTATATCTCAAAAGAGATCCATTTAAGATGCAGCCTATGCTAATACTTCCTCATTAAAATAACAAAGAAAACCCTATCCCCATGTGGAATTATAACCACAGGTATAGTAGGATTTACAACACATTTTGGGAGACACAATTCAGTCCATAACATGTAGCTTGCTCAAAGTTGCTTTCATCTGTTTTGGTGTAGTTGCAATGTATAATGCAGTAGCCCTAAACCTGGAATACTGGTCCCTGTCATCTGACTCTGTTCATGGTGGGAGTTAAGAGAGGTGCTTAGTTCCGTACCTCTGGAGGACTTCCTCACCCATCTTCCCTATATTATGCATCTGCCCACCTAGACTAATGGCTCACATAACGTGTAAATGACAAAAACAAAATTGTAACTGATACAAATAACATTTTATTCACAAATCTATTCTTGTAGAAGTATTTCCACAGCCCTCCCCAAATGAACTGTTGTGAGAATAGATGAAAAGGCTTCTGCCATATTAAAACACATTTCCCAAATCCTTCTCTATCTTACCCTATTTGCTCCCTGCTGATGGCTCTGTTTTTCCTTCTTTCAGACAGAATGTATCCTTGGAACATCTTTGCATAACCCCATCCAGAAAGAAGCTCTGTGATGTGTGGATTGTGAGTTTGTCCTAAGCAAGTTAGACTTCCCAAGAAACAGCTTGCTGTGAGGACTGGGATGGAAGAGCTAACACCAGTGGAAGGTGACAGCCAGCTCTCAAGCCCCCACCAGGGCTCTCTGAGGAAGGCTGTGGCTGCTGCCTTGGCTCTGGATGGGGAATCCACAATGGGTCGCAGGAAAAAGAAGAAGAAAGAGTCCCGCCCAGAGTCTATCATCATCTACCGGTCAGATAATGAGAAAATGGATGAGGAGGCAGGAGAACTGGATGGTGGAGAGCAACCTAAAGAGGAAGAAGGAGATGATTTCCTAGACTACCCCACAGATGATGGTAAGTCTCCCTGTGGCCATTAGTTTATAGCCATGGAAAGGAAACTGAATGAGGATTGCCCTGAAGACAGCCAGGCATTTGCTTGCTGAGCTAGTTCTTTTTTTGTTTCAAATGAAAGGTCTCACATATTTATTACTGAACCAAACTATTAATGTGGAAGCATAAAAACAAAGGAAGAAACCAGACCTTTTTCCATGCAACATTGTTCAGATAGTGGCGAAATTTTCAGCTTGACATGGTAAAAATACTAGTAAACTTGATAGAACATAAATACTTGTGCCATCACATGTTTGACTCCTTATAGAGAGTTCTGGTTCCCTAGTGCCACTCCAACAAGAATATACCACAAATGGGATGCCTGAACAAACAGGAGTTTATTCTCTTACAGTTTGGGAGGCTAGAAGTCCAAGTTCAAAGCCAGACTCTAGGAGCTGTGTGAAAGCCCCTCGACCTTCGGCTTCAGCTCTGCCTCTTGCTCCCGGCCCACTGAAGCTAGAGGCATCTCTTCACTCAGGCAGCTAGTGGCTGCTGAGGCTGACAAGCCCAAGGTAGACAAATAAAATGGCACAGTCCCAATGTTACCAAACCACACCGCAGGCCGTTAATTCAAGTCCATTGAAAGTCCCAAGGGCAGCAGGGCATGGCAGGCTGCTGAACAATGGCACGGCTACATGCAGGGTCCATGTGTGCCATAAGCTAGAGACCATTCCCAAAGCTGCTGCTTATATACAAGCAGACCACATACCCAAAGGTAGCTACTCAGCTGCTTGTAGTAGATCCCACCATGGAGCTGACTGCCAGTCTCATCATGGCAAATAACTACCACCAGCTGCCCAGCCACTCAACCAGGCCCAGCCAAGTTGACACACAAACATAACCACCACATAGACCCAGCTTGGTTCTTCTCCAGTGTCTCCTCTTGGAGTTGTACCCAGTTTTATTACTAATGTTCATTCTAATCTGTTGCACAATGGAATGATTCTACTTTTATTTCTTGGCCAAGAATCTCTTAATCCTAAAAGTTTTGTGAGACAACATGGTAAGGATGGAAGGGTGCTGCATACACCATGATGGCAGAGAAAGAGAGAGAGCAATCTGTTTCTTTTTCGGGATATGGTTATCTTGCAGTCTTCACTCAACAATTTGACAGTATTTACTGGGCACTTACTCTGTTCTGTGCTAGATAATATGGAGAATCTCTACCCTTTCAGAACTCCTAGGGTAATAGAAGAGGCTTATTTATATACAAAAGTAAGTAATACAAGCAAAGTATGCTACTTAACTAATGAATGTAAGATAAAGAAACAATAATAGTTACTTCAATAATAATTGAGAAAATGCAAATTATAACAATGAGATGTTAGAAATTCCAAAATAGTTAAAATACGGTAACATCAATGTGAGGCAACATACTTATACATTTCAAATGGAAATGGAAGGAAGCTACTCTACTTTGCAAGGATATTTATCCATTTTTATTAAAATGCAGAAATTCTCATGCTCAGTATCTACCCCAGGAAATCTATGCCCATGTGTATAAGGAGGTATGTATGAGAATGTTTTTTGCTGCTGAAGAAATTGTGAAGTGTGCCTATTAAGGATTACTGTGCAACAAGATGGGTATGGTAGATCTATTTGTGTGGATAGATGAGAACCTAAGACATATGCCCATGAAGAGGAAGAGAGGCAACATTTCCATGCAGCTTACCTTCTAGTCAGGGGAAGACAGACAGTAAACAAGTCACAAAAATATTTTCAGGTAGTGATGAATGTTGCAAAGCAAATAAAACCATGGTGAATGTGGAAGCTCAGGGGGATAGATTGGATGGTCACGAAAGGCCTCTCTGGGAAGTGCGGTTTGAGCTGATCTGAATGGTAAGGAGCCAGCCAGGAAGAGTTCTCAGCAGAGCCTTTCCAAAAGCAGGATTAGCAAAGGTGAAGACCCTGAGGTGGGAGTAACAGTGGCCTGTTAACAGAATGGAATTATTTCTGTGGGACAAGAGTGTAGTGTAGGCAGCCCTGGTGGCACAGTAATTAAGCACTCAGCTGCAAACTGAAAGGTCAGTGGTTCAGACCCACCAGCTGCACCATGGGAGAGAAGACCTAGTGATAAGCTTCTATAAAGATTACAGCCTAGAAAACCCTATGGGGCAGTTCTACTCTGTCCTATAGGGTCTCAATGAGTCGGAATCAACTTGATGGCATAAGACAACAGCATGTAGACAATAAGGGGAGGATGGTGAGAGGAAGTTAGAAAGGTAGGCAGTGGTTTGGCCTTGTAGGGCACAGATCACATGTAAACCATGTTGAGCCATGTAGGTCATAGTAAGAAGTTTAGAACTTATTACAAGTGCAGGGGGAAGTCAATGGAGAACTCTTAAGCAGAGGAGAGACATCATCTCATTTATATTTTAAAAAAGATCACTCTGCCTTTCTGTGAGTAATGGATTACACGGGATAACAGTGGAAACAGATAAAGACTATGGCCACAGTAACATGAATGTGGAAGCTTGGATTTGGGTGATAGCAAGGGAGATAACTAGAGAGGAAACTATTAGGTGTTTGGGGAACAGAACCACCTTTTTAACTGGGTAGTCAAGGACCCTGCCGCTATCCTGGGCCTTGCTCTTCAGATGGCTATGCTCTAGCCCTTTTCTAACCATGGGGCAAGGAGTTTACAGGTCCCAGGGGACCTGCCTTCATAGAGCCTGTACACCAAACCTCCCAACACATACAACTTCTAGACCATATTTTCATATGCCAAGGACCATGGAATTCCCTACTCAATATCTCCAACTTCACTTCCAGAGTGGCGAAAGGATGGCTGTTTGGTCATGGTGTGTGTGTGTGTGAGTAGACAGTGTTTGGATTTGTCAGCTAGGGTGTCCATAGGCCTGTGTCGGGGCCCCCTCTCAGAGAAGCATAGAGATAGGCATGAAAAGAGAAGGGGTGTGTGGTAGTTAAATTTTTGTGTCAACTTGGCTAGGCCTGGTTGAGTGGCTGGGCAGCTGGTGGTAGTATTCCCCATGATGAGACTGGTAATCAACTCCATGGTGGAGTCTACTGTGAGCAGCTGAGTAGCTGCCTTTGGGTATGTGGTCTGTTTCCCATATATAAGCAGGAGCTTTGGGAATGGTCTTTAGCCTTTAGCATGCTTGGACCCTGCATGTAGCTGTGTTGTTGCTTAGCAGCCTGCTATGCTTTGCCAACCTTGGGACTTAAATGGACTTGTTAATGGCCTGCCATGTGGATTGGTAACATCGGGACTGTGCCTTTTTACTTGTCAACCTTGAGGCTTCTCAGCCTCAGCAGCCAGCAGCTGTCTGAGTGAAGAAATGCCTCTAGCTCCAGTGGGCCAGGAGCAGGAGGCAGAGCTGGACCCCGAGGTTGAGGGGCTTTCACCTAGCCCCTAGAGCTTGGCACTTTGAACTTGGACTTAAAGCCTCCAAATTGTAAGAATAATTTCCTGTTTATTAAGGCCATCCCATTTGTGGTATATTTCTTGTCAGAGTGGCACTGTTGTTGTTGTTGTTATGTGCCGTCGAGTCAAACCCGACTCATAGCGACCCCTCCTTGGGTTTCCGAGGCAGTATCACTATGGAAGTAGGATTGCCCAACCTTCCTTCTGAGGAGTGGCTGGTGGGTTTGAACCGCCAGCCGTCTGGTTAGCAGGCAAGTGTCTTAGCGACTATGCTACCAGAACTCCCAGAGTGGCACTAGGTAACCAGAATAGGGTGGGCTACCCATTAGGGACTTCCAGTTGAACTCTTGCCCTGACTTTATGACATATGTGCATGTTATATACTTGTTATGTATTTGTGTGTGTATATGTATGTGTGTGTGTGTATATGTATATATATATATATATACACACACACATACCCATAAATACATACAGTACACACACTGGTATATGACACTCACACATTACAATATTTTCACTGCACTGCAGACTAGAAGTAAGATCAATATAAAGTGGTGTCCTTAGTAAAATGAGGGTGTGGACGCTTTGATATATTGAAAGTTGTCTCTTACACCCCTCCATATCATGGGTATCTTACCAAGATGACACCCAGAAAGGAAGAGAGAAAAACAAGTTTAACCTGCTCCACAATTTCATCTGGAACCAAGTGTGTGGTGTGAGAGTTCACTGTAGGAGAATTAATACCAGTGGCTGCTCTCCTGAGGGAGGTCCATTCAATCAATCACTGACTTCTGGTTAAGCTTGTGTGAGATGTTGTGAAAACAGACCTTCTCATACTCAGCCCCAACCTCAGGGGAATGACACTGATAAAATGTTCTTTCCTGATCTTGACTTTCACCTCCTTTGTGCCCTGCAGGTATGTGGAACATGCCTTTGGACAGCCGCTATGTCACATTAACTGGAACTATTACACGAGGGAAGAAAAAAGGTCAGATGGTGGACATCCATGTCACATTGACAGAGAAAGAGCTGCAGGAATTGACCAAGCCTCAAGAATCATCAATGGAAACAACACCTGAAGGAAGAAAAGTCTGCCAGATAGGAGCAGATCGTGGGCCACACGTGGTCCTTTGGACAGTGATCTGCTTGCCTGTGGTTTTTGTCCTCTCTTTCATTGTCTCTTTCTATTATGGTACCATCACCTGGTATAACATCTTCCTTGTGTACAATGAGGAGAGGACCTTCTGGCACAAGATTTCATATTGCCCCTGCCTTGTTCTCTTCTATCCAGTGCTCATCATGGCCATGGCCTCTTCACTGGGACTCTATGCTGCTGTAGTGCAGCTCTCTTGGTCCTGGGGAGCGTGGTGGCAGGCTGCTCGGGACATGGAGAAAGGCTTCTGTGGCTGGCTCTGCAGCAAGCTGGGCCTGGAGGACTGCTCTCCCTACAGCATTGTGGAGCTGCTGGAATCTGACAATATTTCAGGAAATCTCTCCAACAAGGAGCCTACACAAGAGGTAGAAACCTCCACTGTCTAAACTCCCAACAGTTTATTTCCTTCTCTCATCTCTGTAGTCTATATATCATCTTCCAATTCCAGAGAATTCTTTAAATTCTCTTCCCCTACTCCACCCCCAGTTCTTCTGGAAAATCTGAGACAACATTGGTCTGTCATAACACCTTGATGATTCCAAGAAGGCAGAGAACAGAAAAGCAATGCCTGTCAAAGCAGTTTACCTAATGGACAAACTCCTCTTCCATCCTTCCCTTAAATGACAATTTGTCTGAGACAGGGAGCTCAGTAGTGTCAGTTCAGTAGCTTGGAGGTGTTCTTGGTAACCAGAACCCAGAAGAATGTTTGACCACTGGGACAGGGAGAGTAAGGAGGCTCAGGGACATCAAGGCTACAGTGAGATAATAGACAGAGATGGAGTGAAACATTTAAGAAGTAGGACTGTCACAGTCCAGCAGAATGTAAAGACTTGTATCATTGAGATTTAGATTTAGCTGTATATTATTAAGACCCTAAAATACCAGTGGTTTAAATAAGATAGAAGTTAACTTCTCTCTCATATAAAAGACGACTAGAGGCAGATCACCTGGGACACGATGAAGACATCAGGGCCCCAGGCTTCTTTTATTCCACTACCATTAATAGAATGTGGTGCTCATCACCCTTAACCTTAATGTTCCAGATGCTCATGCATCTCCAGCCATCATATCCATGTTTCTGGCAGCAGAATAGAGGAAGGGGGATGAAGAACATATTGAAAGGAGACTTCCTAGAAGTCCTGTTCAACACTACTTCTTACATCTCCTTGGCCAGACATGGTCTAAGGTGCGATACAGTCTTTTGGCTGAATAGCAGCTATATTCCTGGCTCAAAACTGGGGTTATGCTCATTAGAGAGAAAGAGAAGAGTGGCTATTTTGGTAAACAGGTAAGAGTTTCTGCCCCACTCTGATTGTTTAAAAAGATTTTAAAACTATTGATACAGTTTATTCATATATTTATTTTGGTCAGAATCTTACACAGAGAGAACTTATGCATAGATATTACTTAAGAAGCACCTTGTATACTTGGCAGTTGAACTGGTAATGTCCTGTGGTTTCAGGTTTGTTTGGTTGGGGTTGTTTTGGAAAAGAATAGTGGCCAGGTGAAGACAATTATGTAACAGTAGCCCCTACTTTTTTCTGGGTGATAAAGGTGGCATGGGGTGATGATATTTAATCTAATCTACAGATTAAAGACTGTGAAGGGAGGGATTGCCTAGGCCAAACTCCCCAGCCCTCAACAAGGATTAGTAACCCTAAACACAAAGAAGCCAAATCTAGTGTTCTGTTGTTTGGTGCAACCTCACTCAAAACATCACTCACTCAGACTTTTCTATAGTTTAACCATAAACACGATTTTTCCTGTGCTACGAGTCTGATGTCTTCCTGGCCCCTTAAGTCATTAAGGTCGACTCTACTCTGAGGAGGCAGCTCTTCACCAGTTGTACTTTGAGTGCCTTCTGACCTGAGGGGCTCATCTTCTGGCACTATCAGACAGTGTTTCAGGGTTCTTCATAAAGTTTTCCAATAATATATCAGACAGTGTTTCACGACTTTTCATAAGGTTTTCACTGGCCATTTCTTTAAGTGGATGGCCCCATCCTTCTTTCCAGTCTGTGTTAGTCTGGAAGCTCGGCTGATACCTTTCCACCATGGATGACCCTGTTGGTATTTGAAATACTGGTGGTATAGCCTCCAGCCTCACAGAAACATGCAAGCCACCCCAGTACAACAAACTCACAGACAAGTGGTGGTCCTGGCTCCAATGGGGTTGTAATCCAACTGGTGCTCCTTGCTTGTTCATGTTTCAGAAATAAGCTATTGAAAGAACTGCTATGTATCAAACCGGAGGGCATCAGCTATGCTTCTCCACACCAGGGACATTGCCCTAATGTGCGGTGCTGGACTCTGTCTTCTGAGGAACTTTAAAAAAAAAAAAAAAACCTATTATCAGTTTGACAAGAAAAAGACAAATCTCCCCAACATTTTTGAAGATAACTTTGGTGCTCTCTGGTGCTTTTACAGAGACATGAACAATTGTAATGAAGACAAAGAAGATAAAAATAAAATCTAATTTACATCTGCTCAGTTTGTCTTTGAGGCTCTCCAAAATTGCTCTGAAAGCTATAATGTGCAGAGAAAGGGTGAGTGTGGTGGCTGTTCATTATGTGTGTAACAGTGTTAATATGATGTGTACCCTAATGTCTTGACACTTCCCATGCATTCCTAATTTACTAGGAGGCCATTTTGGTGGACTGTTTTCACAAATCACATATTTACTCAAGCCCATACTGGAAATCTGTAACCATATTTGTCAGTTTTTCTGGGCACAGGGAAATCAATAGTCCGGACCAAAAACAGTCATGATTAGGACAAGGGGAAGGTAAGGCCATGGTGGAATGGAATGTGACGGGATAGAGAGCAAGACTATGCACAGGGGGCATCTAGATGAAATTGACATGGCCCTCTTATCACTAGTTGGGTTTGCCATCTAGTGAAGAAATAGCTTTATAAACTAATTTCAAAGGGGTTGCAAAACCCTTGTTCTCCATGACTTCCTGTAAAACAAGATTCTAAATCTTGAATAGAACTCATTTCAAACGTCTTGAAAGTTTCATTCTGCCACTTTGGAATGGCCACCCAGGGCTTAGTTTTTGCAGTGTTAAGCAAGATTAGTGGCCAACAGAAAAAATTGTCTATTCCTCAATTATTTTACATAGATACAAACCTTTGATGTGGATTTTAATTTAATGGTATTTGAAGGAAGTGGTGGGATATGGTACCATCACTATTCATATCTCTTTGGGATATAAACCATAACTTCATATTTGTATTCTCTTAATGATTTTAACTTATTTTCTCAATTGCCCATAATCATCATTATAGTTTGCTGTCAGAGCACACAGTCTCCACATTTTTATTTTGCATAATACTTGGGAAGTCATTACTCATGTAGTTCACTCTCAGAGTGATGTTAAACACAAACACATTCCAGCAACCCAAATTGTAATTTCAAAATAAATAAAGTCCTTCAGTTGCTTTTAATTCCATCTACTCTGAAGGGGATTATATAACCAACATTATAGCAATGCTTTGAAAAATCCCCCTTGTTGTTGCTGAATAAGAAACTACTCCAAAACTTAGTGGTTTAGAGGGAGGTCAGCAGAAAATGATCAAGGCAGAGGAAGACACTGGGAGGAGCACAAGAGTTAACTGCAGCAAAGGTAAGTACTATTACATATACAATCCTGCAAAAACAGTAATAATAATTTACAAGTGGTGTAGTGCCTAAGGCATTTGACTATCTCAGAAACCCTAGGAGGGGTTGTTATGAGTCAGGTCCCACTCACAGCAGTGAGTTTGGTTTTCTTTCTTTTTTTTTTTTTTAACAAGTGGATACATAGATACTCAAACTGAACAGGGGAAAAAGCAGGTGATTGGGACTACATCCATGAATATATATAGGTTTGACAGAGGGTATTTCTATATAGCAAAGCATACAGGGGGCAAAGTTATGAAAACATCTTGTTGTTAGGTGCTGTTGTCTCCAACTCATAGAGACCTTATGCACAGCAGAATGAAACACTGCCTGGTCCTGTGCCAGCCTCACGATCCTTGCTATACCTGAGCCCATCATTGCAGCCACTGTATCTATCCATATTGTTGAGGGACTTTCCCTTTTTCGTTGACCCTCCACTTTACCAAGCATGATATCCTTCTCCAGTGAATGGTTCCTTCTGACAACATGACCAAAGTAGGTAAGACAAAGATGAAAACATCTTAGCCACATCCAAAAATCTGAAGGGATGTATCACTGGGCTGGGCCTAAGGACTATAGTCCTGGAGGGTATCAAGATCAATTGGCATAACATAGACCACAAAGACAATATTCTTCCTCCTACTTTGGTGAGTAGTGACTGGGGACTTAAAGGTTTGTGAATGGCCATTCAAGATGCAACTATTGGTCTTTCCCTATCTGGAGCTAAGAGAACTGAAGAAAATCAAAGATACAGGGAAATAATTAGTCCAAAGGATTAATGGACCATGTGAACCTCAGCCTCCATGACCAGAGACCAGAAGCACTAGATTGTACCCAGCTACTACCACCAGCTGCTCTGAAAGAGATCACAATAGGAGGTCTCAGATAGAGTGGGAGAAAAAGTGAAACAAAACTCAGTAATAAAAAAAAGCCAGGCTTACTGGTCTGGCAGAGACTGGTGGAAACCCCAAGACTATAGCACTTACCCACTCTTCAAGCCAGAACTGAAGCCACACAATAGACAGGTCTATAAGATGAACAGGAGCTCTGGTAGCATAGTGGCTAAAGCACTTGACTGCTAACCAGAAGGCTGGCGGTTCAAACCCACCAGCCACTCCTCGGAAGGAAGGTTGGGCAATCCTACTTCCGTAGTGATACTGCCTCAGAAACCCAAGGAGGGGTCACTATGAGTCGGGGTCGACTCAACGGCACATAACATAAGATGAACAATAGTACCATGTGTGCACTCATTACAACAGGGAACCAGATGAGATCAAAAGGAAGCATTTGCCCAGTGATAAAGCTCAGAAGGCAGGAAGGGATAGGAAAGAAGGATGAGGGGAAATGCTAAACACAAGGGAGAAGTGGGAAGAGTGCTGTTATCTCATGGGGACTGCAATAAATGTCACAAAACAAAATGTGTATGAATTGTTAAATGGAAAACCAGTTTGCTCTGTAAATTTTCACCTAAGTCACAATTAAATAAACAGATAAAATTAAGCCCTAAAAAAAAAAACAACTTTGTGGCTTAACATAACAATTCTGCAATTTGGGCAGAGTGTAGGGGAGATATTCTAGAGAAACAACTCATCTCTGCGCAATGTCTCTAAGGCTGAGGAAACTCCCACTGGGCTGGAGGATCACTCCCAAGAAGGTCTCAAGGCTGCCACATTGGTGCTGCCTACCATCTAAGTGTACTCTTTGTGCTCAGTGATCCTCCATGTGG